AACAATAATAATAATAATAATGATAGCAATAATAATTGGGAGGGGGGACGCGGCTGTTCTCATGTTCTCTGAGGGGAGGCTCACCTTCCCAGACTTTGAAAACCCCTGGTCTATGTCTTCTGATGTAAGTAACTATGTAGGCTAACATTAGCTAGGCTATGTTTTGTGGACTAAAGTTTAAACATGTAGATAATGCTAATTTCTGTCTGAAATTGTTCAGGGAGAGAGAATCATAAGACACCAACATGCCAAAAGGAATTAGAAAAAGTGGATCAGAGAGGCTGAGAGAATACAGACAAAGAGTGAGGGATGACCCACTGAAACACGAAGAATATGTAAGAAAGGAAAGAGAAAGAAATAAAAACCGGAAGGAAGAAGGAAAATTGAAATGTATTAGCGATTAATCGAACAGGGAACAAAGGAAGGTCAGAAAATCATGGAGGAAAAGACAGCAAAAGCACAGGGTGTCTGAAACGACAGAGCGAGATGGAGACATTTTGCAGGGCTTCCACACCACCTAGCACTTCTAGTGAGGCTGATCAGACACCAGAGCATAGGCCTGCAGACCAGAAAAGGACGAGAAGTGCAACTAGCACTTCTAGCGAGGCTGATCAGACACCAGAACATAGACCTGCAGACAAGAAAAGGAGAAAGGAAAAAATGTGTAGCTCCAGAAAATTACAGAAGCTAGAGCAGAAGGTCCAAGACATGCAGCGGAGGGAAGCAAAATATAAAAAAAAGATGTCAGAGGTTAAGGTTGAAGTTGACATCAGATGGGTCAAATTGTTCCCCAAGAACAAAAACATGGAACAATGTACAGAAGCACAGAGTTCCTGCTAATATCAGAAATACCCTTCTTTTTCACAATACACTTCTACACCAAATTAAGAAAAAATACAAGTCTGTCAGCTACAAAGAGAAAAATGCATTAAGAAGAGCTGTCTCAGACAGATTGCTCAGAAAATACAAACTTGTTAATTTGCTAAAAAAAACTGTAGGTATCGGCCACAGAGAGTTAAACAAGACTTTAGACAAGCCACAATCGAGGTTCACCTATCAGAGAAGTAGTAATAAAAAGACCATGGAGATAGTCAAAATGTTCTTGAGTCGAGATGACAATAGTCGGGCATCAGCAGGGAAAAATGAAACGATCACAAGATTCAAAAAGAAGAAACAAAAGAGGTTCCTCTCTGACACAATGCTGAATCTGCATCAGAAGTTGATGCTGGAAATGCCTCATCTGAAGCTGTCCTATTCGCTTTTCTGCAGGAAAAGACCTTTTTGGATCGTTGCCCCAAACATCAACAACAGGGAGACATGTGTCTGTAAACTGCATGACAGTACTTTTCCCACAATAGTTCATCAGAACTACGATATATTTGCGTTCACACCAAAAAGCCCCAGGAACTAAAGTAGTTCAAATTAGTTCGTCTGACCCGCTTTTCAGTCCCTGCTAGAGAGCAGGGACTGTCGTGGGAGAAAATAGTTCATACGTCTGATTGGCTGTGCGGAATGCAAACCACGCCCGTTTGACTCTGAATTTTTTTTTGTAAGCAGCCATTGTATTTGCTCGCTTCGGGCCAGCGCACCCGAAGAGATTACTTTTGTGAAAGCAGTTATTATAGCAACACTAAATAAATCATCGGAGCGGTGGAGTGATGAGGATGTGTCGGCGCTTCTGGCGATTTACTCGGAGGACGCGGAGCGCCACATTCAGAAGCTTCTACTGAATGCAGTTTCCGTGGCTCAGCAAAGTTAGCAGACCTGGCAAAGTCATGTCGGGACGACTACGAAGGTAAAATAAAATGCATGCACTGCACTGTTTTAATCTGCACAATACTAGTCTTAGATGTACTTTTATTTGCTCAGTAGATCGAGCTAGCCATGCTAGAACTTGCTATCATAGGTCCAAGCTGGCTAACAACATCTAGCTAGCTAGCTATTCTCAGCCGTGCCCGCTATGAACACGTTTTGACTTGTGAATAAGTGTGCAATGTTCTGTAATTTGCTTCACTAACTCATGGCACTAATCGTGTGTTTCAGGCGAGGTGTTTCTCTCTGGATTAGAAACTAGTTTTCCCCTCCGGGATAAAACGATAATATAACGTTAGCAATTAGCATGCTAGCTGGACATAATGCTACCTCTAACAATACATTGTAGTTGCTATAATTTCAAGTCATTTGCAACATTCATTCTACATGTTAATGGTAAAAGCTTAAACAGTTGATTACCTGCATGCCACAAAGACTGATGTTCTAATATTTTTGCACATTTAAGTAGAAATGTAATTGAAATTCTATTTATTTTTCCTTTTTTGTATTGATTGTTATAATTGTACTCAGCCATGTTATGTTAGATGTCAATCCACTTACACTGTAACTACTCTGGCCTTGAAAGAAGGTTACACATCTAACTGATGTCCACTAATCCCTATAAAACAAAGTTCAAGCATACATTAAGCACAAAACAATAAATAAGGGCACTTTGATATTTATTTTTTATTTGATATTATTTTATCCTATCTTATCTTCTACTTTACTACTTCATTTTGTACACTGTCCCTGCCTGCACCATGTCCAATGTTGTCTCTGTTGACAACCTACTAGGCGATTAAACTGATCTTGTATCTTGCTTATTTCTCCTTAGGAAAGCGGGCACGGGATGACAGCTTCCTTGACACCATCATGGCGATGGACCGCCGTGCCATGGTCAGCAAGGAGAATGAGGACCTGCGTGCCAAGGAGATGCACGACGAACGGCTGCTGCATTCACACAAGGCCCAGGAATCGGACGACCAGCTGCTCATGGTGATGCCGCGCCATGCTGACTCGGCGGCGCGCCAGGTGGAGGTGTCGGCGCGCCAGGTGGAGCAACAAAATACCTTTCAGGCTGGGCTTCTGGCAGTGCAAAGCGAGCTGATTAAATCCAACAGGCCTTCAATAAAAAAATAAAGAAAAACTTGTCGTCATTGATAAACTGTACAATGACTTATTGGGAGGCGTGTGGTGCAGTGGTCTGGTGCGTTGGTGTTCGGATCAGGGGAGCACAGGTTCAAACCCCACTGCAGTCAGCATGTCGTTGTGTCCCTGGGCAAGACACTTCACCCCAAATTGCCTACACCTGGGACAGTTAATTTTGTATTATTGTGATTATATATATATGCCACTGTTATTAATACTGACATTTCACTTTGCACTAAGGTGTGTCTGCTGCTGAGCCTATCTATTGTTATTATATATATATATATATATATATGTTTTGATACTACTGACACTTTATTTGATATTGGTTAGCGTTCAGAAGCCTGACAGCAACAGCATAATATCAATTATGTCAATGTTTTCTTCTGAATCCACCTGGGTAATTATTTTCTGTGTACTTTAAATGTACTTTTATGGATGAACAATTGTTATGTCTTCAAAAATAAAATGATTCTATTGACCCCAAAACATTTGTGTTTGTAATATTTCCAACATAAGGCATGTAATGAGTTAAGATTAAGCAATAAGGTTGAGGTAATATGATACAACCTTGAGAACAAAATACTGTGGTCACTACCGAAACAGTGCAGTCACTACCGAAACAGTGCAGTCACTACCGAAACACTGGATGTTTTTGTAAAAAATAAAGTATATTGAGTTATCAACTAAAATGATATGATACTGATTGGTTTAATGTATGTTCAATTTCAACAATCATCAACTCTGGAATCAATATGATCAGTATTATGCATTTTACAAAGAAAGATTGCATTAAGATTTTTATGAATTGTATAAATTGAACTTTGAAATTTGATTAAAAATTCACTTTTATTGATTTAATTGTGAAAACCTTCAAGAAATATTTGTTAAAATACTATTTAGAGAAGGGAAGGTTAAACAATTTTAACAGGTTAATATAATACCTTTTTACTACAGTGTATGTACTATGTTTCGGTAGTGACAATTTTTGGGAGAGGAAGAACATTCCAATACAGTCTGAAAATACGATATAAACATGTACGGTTCTTTTACTAGAAATGTGTAATTTAGATATGGGACAAAATATATATGGACAAAGTTTTGGGAAAAAAACATACAAAATGTCAAAATATTTCCAACTTTACTTTGGTCCAATTCGGTAGAATGGCCCATATATGATCTCATAAAAAAAGCTATAAATGACGTCACACTTAAACAAAAAAAGAAGTAGAAATAAATAATACATACACACATAATAAATACATTTGCTTTCCAGGCAAGAGGGTTTCAACTATTTTACGTTGCACTATTTAATGCAGGGGTGTGCAAACTACGGCCCGGGGGCCAAATGCAGCCCGCTGACCATTTTGAATCGGCCCTCAGCAAATTAAAAAAGTATAATGTAATACGGCCCACAAATTAAACTTTTGCTTGTCTTATATTGTTGTACTTATATACTGTATGTAAACATTTTCAAATAAATTCAATCAATTAAAGTTGGAAACATTTTCTAACAAATCTTAGTTGATAAGAAAAAAGGCCCAATAACTTATTTACATAACCAGCTTGAAATAGACCCTTCATATTTCCCCTTATTATAAGCAATCTGAGGCTTCACATGTTTTGACGGATGAGCTGCCAACAGAATAAATGAAACCCTATGGAGAGCTGTGATGGCTGTTTTTTTCTTAAGGCATTATCAAGTATCAAGTATAATTGACCTATATTTGATTAATTTTGCTAACTTATAACTGAACTTATGAGGCAATATACCTCATCTCTAGTGAGTGGCCCAGCCCTTCGTATATTTGTCTGTATGTGGCCCTCGGTAAAAACAAATTGTACACCCCTGATTTAATGTATGGAAGAAGAAAAAAAATAGCCTTTCCACCTTTAGTTCGCTGAATACATTTAAAAAGTTAACATAGTTTGCTCTTCAATAAAGTTAACCCGTGTGGACTCTTGTTTACAGAGCAACAAGATTGAAAACCCCGCAAATAGAAGTATAATGTAGACAAGTGTAATGTCCGCACCATCAGCTGCTAAGCTACCTGTAAACAGAAGCCACGTGACAAGCAGCGCTGCCTGTCAGGGCTTTGCAGCAGCAGGACGAATGACGGCCGAGTTGGAGGAAGTTACTGGGAGCAGCTGTGCTAGTATGTAACCCTAAACGAGTTGGAGACAGCATTGCAGTAAAAGAGAGGTAAGAGTATTATACGTGAAGATAAATATTTCTTAATATCCGAACTGATCGCATTGGAGCATGTGGGCGTGATCATCTAACGATCGTTAGCAGCACTCAGGCTACAAACAAACTTGGTAGCTTGAGGCCTAATGCTAAAGCAAGCGGACTAGCCTGTCTGACAGATTAAGCACCGAGCGGTCTAAATAAACGTTTACATATTTTATGCAACACATTTTTGATGTTCTGGCCTTTATGTTTGTTGATGCAAATTATATTCACAGGATCAGTTCATGAGTTTAAGACAGTGAGTTACCTAAGGTGGTAACTTCCTTCTTATGCTAGCATTAGCTTGCTAATGATGCTAGTGCTCTGCAGCGGATTGTTGTTAGCCGTCTTATAACGCTAGCATGCTAACTAGCAAACACTTCATACATTGAGAGAACTAGGTCACAAACATGCTGTGTTTCAAATTGGGATTAAGTCATATTAGGGATCATTGCATAAACCCGTCTGGAGATCTGCTAACATATTAACGTAGCGTTTTTTTAATGCACTGTTTATTTCTGGCCTGCACACTATTGTGTAGTGTAACTTTATTGTAAGGAATGGGCAACTTGCTGCTAATTTAATCATAGCTTTGCTTTTGATGGTTTTCCAAGTTGGTCATTGTAAAAGCTTTTTTTGCACTTGCAGAAATATACCTAATCTGTATTCGCAATGTGAAAGACCCACGGAAATGGCCACAACTGAGATCATGCGAGGTTATTTGAACGCAGCCTGACCGTAGCAGGACAGTAAACAGGCATCTACAGTTGATTGAGGCAGCACAGAAGCAAAGTTTAAAGCTCCCCATCACTATATTTCCAACAACTTTAAAAGGGACATTCCGTCAGTAATCAATCACCTTTCAACTTGAATTTGTTTTCTCTACATGTTAACCTTTATAAAAGTGTTTAATCGTGGTTGGATAATCCAAAATGACCGACCATTCTGGATAAAGGGGCCCTTAAAATTGACCCATATTGGACCCCCACGTAACCTTAAGACACAGATATCATCTTTAAAAATAAACAAAATTCATGGTTCCTTTAAAACCCTAAAATGATTATGGTCCATAATAAACAAATATGTCGACATACAGTCTTATTTAAAATTAAATATTAGTTATCCATGATATGAAAATCTTATTTTTGTAATTTTCTGTTTATTATACACTTTGTACTGCCTGTTGCTTTGTATCACTGTGGAACAAGGTAGTTTAGCCTTCAAAACTAATGAATATCTGCTCATCCTTACTAGCTTGCTGAGATAAGACCAAAGACATGCATCAAGATAGTTCTTCTATAATTATTCATATAATTGTTTTTGCTTGATCAAAATGGGTTACTGCTGTTTTTCCTACATTCTGTCTGTTTGTTTTCATACAGGAAGGCAGCAGCATTCATGGATATTGTGGACAGCTTTAACAGTTTAATACCCAGTGACCAGTTGGACGACTCCCTGATAGCTGGTCAGAATTTGGAATGTGACGGCAGTAATGAGTTTGGGACAGGACTCCGGCTGGAAGAGTCGCTGAAGAACATGCTCAGTGATAAAGATCCCATGTTTGGATGTGCAAGCTCCTCTCAGTTCAATCTGCTGGACAATGAGGACTCCACTTTTCCAATTGCTGGCTCAACAGGTATGTCAACGGACAAAATACAAATGTCCAATATGGATTTGTATTGATACCAAACCTTGATTTAAAGCTAATTTACATATGCTACTACCAAAGCCTAAAGGCCGCTACACACCAACCTGAGACCAAAGAACGCGTACCGAAGGTGTCCCGACTTTTACGTCCGCTACGTCGCCTGCGTCGGCTACGCCGCCCGCCTACGAACACACCGCAAAGACTTCAGTTGACGAGTGGCAATAACTGTCCTTACCAGCAGGCAGCGGTAGTGTGTATTCGTCATTCAAAAGAGGCAACAACCGGAAGACAGACTATACACAGAGAGAAGAAGAACAGGCTGCGTGATATAAACAAACAACAAATAGCGTCTGGGTTCCATTTTCACTCTCTCTCGTCGATCGAAAACATGTAAACATAAAAAAGAAACTCTTGCGTCCGGGTGAGATGAAAATGAAAAAGATTAACCGTCTGTGTGTGCCTTCTTAATCGTTTGTTTTGGTCCCTCACTTCCGCTTCGCTTCTCATGCACTGACTCGCTAAGCTGAACAGCCAATCAGAGTGATTTCTTTGTCCCGACTTTCTTTGGCCGGACTTTCTTTGGCCGATTCAACATGTTGAATCGGCCGCGGGAGGTGTGAAAATGTGCCGTAAAGAGACGACGGTGCGGGACACACCAACCTGAGTAGGGCGCCGCGAATGCCCGACTACCTCTGACGGCCTCTGACGGCCTCTGACTCCCAAAATCGGGTTGGTGTGTAGCGGCCTTAATCTGGCTGCTTCACACTAAAGGGCATTATAATTCACAATAGACCTTGCTAAACGAGGTTCTAAGTATACATAACGGTTCACTTACATTTCACCTACTGCTAAGTTTTGAATTGCACACAAATATTGTGGTGTCACTCCTATCAGGCTTTGCATTCAAACCATTTATTTAGTGTGTTGGAGTTCAATCTGTTTGACTGTTGTGATTGCCAATTAAATTTCTATTTGTGTTAAATGTATACATAATTAAAAAAGAAATACACTTGGTACACAGGAAGTTAAAATACCTGTATTTGTTTCAGCTGTTGCAGCTCTCGGTGATGGTTCAGCACCCACAGGCCTCAGCGGTGAACTGACCGATGCAGAGACTTCACAAGTCAAGCGACCTGTTGGCAGGCAGAAGAAACGTCCAAGTCATTTAGAGAACGGTAAATCACTCATTTAGATTCCCATTTCCACGATATGACACCGTCAACTATAAAGGGTGTGACATTTATTCTCTATGTTTTTTGTTGTTGTTGTTGAAACAGACACATCCACCAACACCATGACCCGAGGACGAATAGGAAGGGAACCAGCGAACAGGATCCGGAAGTCGTTTCTTATCGAGAAAGGAGTTAAAGGCGCCCAGCTGAAGAAAGAACTTATTCTGGGAGGACGTGTTGATATTAATGATCTTCAAGGTGCATTATGGCTGAATCCTTCCGTTGTATTGAGACGATTGACTGTCACAATTGCAGGATTTAAGATTGAGCTGCTTCCAGGACCCTCTTACACACACAATGTTGAAGGGAGCCTTGATGGTGGCTTTGCGTATTCTGGGGACATTGGGTTTGCGGTGCTGCCAGGTGATACCGTCAGTGTACAGAATCCCACACCTGAGAACGTGGCAGTGGTGGCTGAAGTTGCTGAAGTTGCTGAAGTAGCTGAAGTCGCTGAAGTTGCTGAAGTAGCTGAAGTCGCTGAAGTCGCTGAAGTAGCTGAAGTTGCTGAAGTTGCTGAAGTTGAGAAGAGCTCTGCTGATGATGCGGCCCTGGGGCTCGGCCCGTATGTGAATCCCAACGACGTGCAGACCTCCAACGGGACTTTGATGGGGAGTGCCTGCACGCAAGAGACAAAACACGACAATCATAGTGTTCCTGAAAAACTAAAAACCGTCAGTAAAGAAAAGGATGGCCTCAAAGAGCCAGAAAACATTCAGAATAACAGAACTACTGTTAGTAACAAGACAAATGATAAGGAAAAACAACAGATTGTGGCCAAAACACTACCGAAGTCGAAACTAGGGCTGCCTTCTAACAAGAATAAAGACTTGGTTTCTGATAAACCAAATAACACGGTTAAGGGACATAAAGTAACCCAAAACATGCCATCCAAAATCCAAAGAGACGACCTGCTGAGAATAAAAAATCTCAAGGAAAAGAAAGAAATTTCACCTTTGAAAAGGCCTGCAGAAATCACCCAAAGTGAGCATGCTACTAAAATCCAAAAGACACAGGGCGCAGGTGAGAGTAAAGGGAAGCCAAGCTCTCTCGGTAAGAAGAGCCCATCGTCTGGCAACCGTGTTGATCCGCAGGGAACAACTAAACACACGTCTCCACCCAATATCTCCAAGCCTGAGACGGCCTCTCAAACACCTGTTCGTCCAGGACATCCTTTAAAAATGACAGAAGAGGTGGGGCAGGAAAAGCCCAAACTGAAAAAGCCAGAAAAGATTCTTCAAAGACAGAAAAGTAAAACTCCAAGAAGCATCTCCGTGGATGAGCCGCAGCTGTTTATCCCAGACAATGCTCCTGCTGTGAAGAAGGAAAATGCTGAAGAGACACCCGCTAACAGTGAGTCGGTATGGGATGGAAACAACTGCTGTGGCCTGTGCAAGAACCAGCACAATAACACGTAAGTGTTGCAAAACAGATCGTTTTCTTACTCAGACATAATTGGTGTATGTTGTAGATTTAACTTTGCAGGCGGTTATCTTTTTTTTTTATAGAAATGTGAACAATTTAGAATTTTTGATAGTTGAACATTTACCCAGCACAACCTGCAATAGTTTAGTGGATTTTAAAGATGATAGAAATGATGAGGAAAGACAAAAGTTACCACAGTGTTTGTACAAATATCAAAAGATATTGCCTTACAGTCAAATAAGTGTTTGTGAACAAAAATGTAATTGTTCTACTGGTGTCATTATTATAGTGGGCCAGAATGTATCTGCTGCACAGAATGCTTAAAAAACACCTTTTAATAATGTCTGCACTTCTTTTAGGTTCATGGTAGGCTGCGGTCGCTGTGAAGACTGGTTCCACGGAGACTGTGTTGGTCTCGACCTTACCAAAGTACGCGAGATGGAGGAGGAAGATCAGATGTACGTGTGCTTGAAGTGTTGTGAGGAAGAAAGCAAAAAGGTGGAGCCCGAGCCCCCGATTGCAGCCAAACCAGAAGTGAAAGCAAAGGCGGAGGAACAGGATGTGAGGCCGCCCCCCAAGCCCCAACCAGGACCCTCCGAGAAACTCACCTCAGGAGGCGTCAGACCAGTAAGAAATGTAAGCAGTGACACTTTGAGGTCTTTGATAAAGCTGTTTTGCTCATGCTTAAATGTAAATCTTTCGATATAAAGGATAATTTATTTGTTCCCCCAGGATATTTTATTTGTGTCAACACTGTACAATGTATTTATTTATTTTTTTGCTTTTACTTTGCCTGTAAAGAAGGTTTGCACATGGGTGTGTGTATACCCACCAAGGTTCGGGACATTTTCCCACACATAAATACTCAACCTGTATTTTCAATGTTTGGCCGAGGGTTAGAATATTTCAATTTAAATGTTGCTGTTTTATTGAATTTATTAACTATGATATGGCTAATGTGCTTTTTCCTTTTCTCTCCTAAAATAGGATCCAGACAGGAGGCACTCCACAGATGCAGCTCATAAAACAGGTATTTTTTAAGAAGTGTTTAGAAACTTAGAAACTTGTTTGTGATTGTAGTAATGTGTTTTTATTACATGTACAGCACTTTTTGGCTCGACCAAAAATCGCTTTTAAATGTGCTTTATAAATAAAACTTGATTTGATTTGGATGGAAAGTTTTAACTACTATCTGACATATAATAGACCAAATGATAAATCAGGAAAATAATTAGCAGGTCATTTGATAATGAAAATAATAATTAGTTTCAGCCCTAAATGTAGTTACATCTACAACAAGTCTTGTTCAAAACAGAAGATAATACACATTATCTCTGTCTTTTCTTAGATATTAGATAACAGCCTTCTTGTATCACAACTTTGTATGAAATCCCTGTTGTCGCAGATTTTCCCTCCTGCTCAGTAGATATCTTCATTCTGTCTTCACAGGCTTTTATCTGAAAGAGTCAAAAAGTAAGTCTTCAGGTTCAAAGAAACCTGTGTCTGTGGAGGCGATCCGGCGAAGTGTGCGGGACTCTCTGAAAGAAATCCTCATCCAGAGGTACGTTTTTCACGAGTGAAAGTAATTAAAAGATAAACTGATATGTTTTTTTTATTGAAAAACTTAACAAACGACTACCTAAACTTTCTGCGCCTCAGGTTGAAGGAGTCTGATTTGAAAGTCTCAGTGGAGAAGGCCTCTGAAGTTGCCAAGAAAACGGAGAGAGAGCTTTTTCACTTGTATAAAGACACTGACAACAAATACAAGAACAAGTACAGAAGCTTGATGTTCAATCTTAAAGACACTAAAAATAATGTAAGTATCATTGTAAACCAGGCATGATTCAAATGTTTTGAGTGTTGCCTTTTGAGTTTTAATATATTCATAGTTACACTTGCTCTTTTGTTGTATTTTTAGGTCCTCTTTAAGAGGGTTCTCAAAGGGGAAGTTTCTCCTGGTAACCTGATTCGAATGAGCCCCGAGGAACTGGCCTCTAAAGAATTAGCTGCTTGGCGACAAAGGGAGAACCGACATGTAAGTAATGCTTTCCTGTGAGACTGAATATATGCCTTCAAGTTTGTAAGAAAATGACAGCATTCTTCTTAAAGCCCTTAACAATACAAAAGGTAAGTTAAGGTTAAGCTTGAAATGTTTTCCCCGTTTTTATCACATTTATTTGGTTGTATTTTGGAATGCAAGACATTCAGTAGCCCGTTAAAAATAAATATATTCCTTATTTTACAGACTATTGAGATGATTGAAAAGGAGCAAAGAGAGGCAGAAAGACGGCCGATCACTAAAATCACACACAAAGGAGAAATTGAAATTGAAAGCCAAGAACCAGAGAAAGCACCTGAGCCTGAAGAGGTAAGGGCCCCAACAAATATTACTCTAGATTATTTAATGTTTTCGTGACATGTTTGCTTCAATGTCTATTATTTTCTCCCCTTGTCAGCTTGACTCACCTCCCAAAGTTACCGAAGTCACAGCTGAATCTCCAAAAACCCCTGAGGAGAAAGCAGAGGGTCCCGGCACAGAGAAAGACACAACCAACCAACACAAGTCTCACTTATTTGACCTACACTGCAAAATCTGCACAGGTAAACCCTGAAATACAAAAGTTGTAATGTTAGTCATCAATGGGATAATTAAGCAATAGCTCACGACAGGCCGTGGTATATGGCCATTATATCACAGTTAAGGGGCGTGGTCGGCTCAATCCACTCCTCCATAGTAAGACCCCCCCCCCCCCGGAGGTCGAAGTTAATCTTAAATGTTTTTGCGGACCTTTTTGATTACAGATTTGAAAACATCGTTGCTTGCTTTAAAAGTAGCACAATTCATTATGTCAAACCTTGGAAAGTATCTAAATATCCCTGCCCTAATGCCAAAGGAACTGCACACTGAATATGTTTTGCAGTTTGATGTCTATGTCTGGACCGCTGCGTAAAAAGGAGGGTTTCTGCCCCGTTACTTCTCCGCTGTTTTCTTGTCCCAGTTTGAAAAGCAAACTGCAGGCAGTTTGCTTTTCAGCCCAACTGTATACAGTTTTTCTCAGACGCGGAGGGATACTGACTTGTTGTGAAAAGTAACTACAATTCTACCCGTGGTATACGCTCAGTATACCATGGCTAAGAACCAATCAGATTGCTTGATTTGATAATCAATATGACACTTCTTTAAGATAACCTGTGTAACCTTGCAGAACTCGAGACATGCTGGTCAACCGCTGGCCTGATTAGTGTTTATTGTACGAGTTTGGTGAATCTGAACTAACCCTTTAAAACTGAAAATGACACTTTTGCCACAAACGAACAGTAGAAAAGCAACTATTCTGCAAGCTAAAAATACTGTTTTTCTCAATGCGGTCTGGTGGCTTTGATGAGGCAGTTGCCTGTAGGGAAAGGCTGACTGATGGTAATGTCAGATGGTGAACATATTCTAAATTTAGCATACACATAAACTTCTACTTTTAGGTTGCTAAAATGCGTTTTGCTGCTGCCCTGGTCCACAGTAGTAAATTAGATGACATCACCACTTTCTATGCTTTTTCCTGCTGTCATTATCTTCAGTTACCAACTTGTGTTGTTTCTTTATTTAAAATAGGTCGTATGGCGCCACCTGTGGAGGAGGCACCGACCAAGGTGGTTAAAGTTGCCACTACAGTTGTCAGGAGGCAGTCCACCAAATCAGAAGAGACCAAGAGCGCGGGAACCCCTGCAGAGGACGACCTGCACCTCACCGTTTTAGAGGAAAGCTTCCGAAGCGCTCAGTCAGGCTACGATGGAAGGTAAACAGTCATTTCTGATCATGTGTGGTTCTCGTCTACAAGCTTAGTTTTTGCAAGCTAGCTCAATTGTTGTATTCGCCACAGGTCGGATCATGTAGCTGGAAGAGATGAAGAAGCCGCTTTCCTGTCTAACCTGAAGTGCCTGTGGCAAGGACTCGTTCACATGCACGCTGTGGCCAAGTTAATGACAAAAGCCTTCCTTGTCTCAGGCACTTTGGACAACTTGACTGAGGTAACGTGGGAAAAAAAAAGAATTTTTTTTGAGTAGCTAGACTAAGTACTGCCACTAAGGTTGGATCTTTGTTTCCTCTCTCAACAGGACATTCCAGACAGCATTCAAGTTGGCGGGAGGATAACTCCACAGATAGTGTGGGACTACTTGGAGAAGATTCGGGCAATGGGAACTAAAGTGAGTTTTTGGCAGCTTTCCCACTGAAGGGGATTAAACAGCCTGTAGTAAAATTCTGTCATTAAATATAATCACCAAGAATTACATAAGTTTCATTGTGATCAAGAGCAGCTTAAGTCCTTACAATTAACATCCACATGTGATGCATTATAAAGCTGCTCCATTGAAGATTTATGTGCAAACCTCTGGCACTTGGATTGCAGATTTTTTTTACTGACGCATGCTTTTTCTTTTATTAAAGGAGGTGTGCCTGATCCGCTTTTCCCCCGAGACGGACGAAGATGAGATCTCCTATACTCTTCTGTATGCCTACTTTAGCAGTCGTAGGCGTTTCGGGGTGGTGTCCAATAACCGGAAACAAGTGAAGGATATGTATATCATTCCTTTGGGTGCCACTGAAAAAGTCCCACATCAGCTTGTTCCCTTTGATGGGCCAGGTAAAGAACATGCAACATGAATTATGTTCCTCTCTGTAGGTGACATTACATTTCTTATTTGTCTTAATCTCTTCCTTTTGACAGGTTTAGAAAACAACCGTGCCAACCTTCTTCTTGGACTCATCATTCGCCAGGCACCTAAAAGGGAATTTCTTCCTGTGGACATGAACGAAACTGCCAGGATTATTCCTGAAATCATGCCCATCACCATTTCCACAAAAGAAACCAGAGCGCAAGAGGAGGAGGAGAAACTTTTCATCTCCTCCTTGACTACTACACATAAAAAAGAAAATGAAAAACCACTTAACCCTACGGAAGAAGTGAAAGAGCCGATTACAGAATCTTCGGAAGAACCATCTGCATCGGAGGAGCCCAACAATCAGGAGCCCCGAAAACCACTGCGCTTTCTTCCAGGTGTGTTATTAGGCTTGGGTGGGGAATTTCCACCTCTGCCAGATGTTGGAGGTAAACCTGCAACAACAGCAGATGACAGCCAGAAGACCCAAGCAGCTCCAAAGACAGAGGCTTCGACTGGGACCTTAAAAAGTCCAACAGCTGCTTCACAACGAGAGCGCTTTGTCATCAGGAAGAAAGACGCTAAATCTGTTAAAGCTGAACCGGCGCTACCCAGCCCGACTCTTACATCTGTTGCTAACAACTCATCAGGAAAGGATGCCGCAGCGGTGACCCACAGTGCACAAGTCTCTCTGAAGGATAAGCCTCCAGATGTATCGACCGAAGCCTTTTTATCGAGCCTTTCAGCAGCGCAGAGTGGAACTGAAACCAGCAGCGCTGCTTCTGCACACAAAGGAGACGTTGGCCTTTTGTCTGAGAGTGAAAAAACACCATCTGAAGGGAACTCTTTGTCGCAGCCCCAATCCATGGCTCCTCCAGCCAATAGCTCCAAACCTCCTTTAAGTGGAATATTGAAAAAATCTTCAGCCTATTCCAGTGTGAATGAGGATAAAACAGCGTCGCTACAAAAGGATGAAGCAAGCCACCCCGCTCCTTTGAGCCCCAAACCTGTTCCTGTTGTGAGCAGTGCTAGAAAAGAGCCGGTTACACTCTTTCACCAAGGATATTTACAGCTTTATCAGGCCAAGAGCAAACCCAAGGAAGAAAAACAAACAACTATTCCATCACCGGCGAGTGAAAAGGAAAACCCGGGCACATCCCAGGCTGATACTAAAGCACTTCAGACAGCTTGTGCTCCTGCAGAAGAACCACAGGCAGTGAGTTACACAGAGATCAAGCAGGACTCTGTAGTGGCACCAGCTCTCTCAGAACACAAGGATGCATCCATCCCATCTCAGCAGCCTCAGGTACCTGGTAGCTACCCCACAGGCCCTCCTCCTCCTCCTCCTCCTAACACTTTCTCCAGCCCACCCCCCCAGGATCAGAATCACAGTGCACCGTGGGTTCAGAATAGCTCGTCAGACGCGCTCGCTGCACTTCAATCACAGTACGCAGAGAGCTGTCCCGAACCAGCTCCCCCACCTCCGTCCCTGGCCAAAGAACACAAGCGTCAAGAGGAGAAATACAGCGATCCGTGGGAGAGGCCGCGCACGTCCGAGGACAGAGATCACCACGGGAGGCACAGCCATCACAGGGACACTCATCACGGGAAGAAGAGCCGGAACCACGACAGGGAGAGGAAGCGCGATCGCAGCCACGAGAGAGAGAGGAGCAGGCACCGCGGACACTCTGACGACCGCTACGGCGAGAAGAGGAAAGAGAGACACCACAGCGAGGATCACAGCAGCCGGAGTAAGGACAGACACAGAAACAGGAGGGACTCTGATTATGAGAATGGACGGAGAAGCTCAAAAGACAGTTAATTATGTTTTTTAGTTGTTTTTTTTTTAAAGCCCTGACAAGGTTTGGGGGGGCTTTAAGAAAGACTGTTGGTTACTAAACCGGTTCAAAACACTTGATTGTGAAGTTGTTTGTTATTTTATACAACGGTCCACAGCTTGTATGCCATTTCCTTCATAGAAGTAACCCATTTTATGTTCATAACAATACAGCCAAAATGAAATATAATTTACAGTCAGATTGTGAAGACATGTTCTCTTCAAGCCAAGAAGAACTTAATATTGGAACAGTTTAAACATTTTAACCTTTTTATTGTATATATCCAGTTCCTTTTGAGCTGCCGTGCTGACTACAAACAATCAGTAAATGTTTGCAGTCTTGTGGGAACATACGAACAACGTGTGGACCATCTGGTGGACATTTTTAAGTTGGCATGAATGTAACACAGAAAACGTTTCACTGAGAACCTTGGAACAGCAACCCCCCCCCCCCCATTTAAATTCTTTTAAATTGCTTAATTATATTTTAAACTTACTTTTTTTGAAAAAGTATGTACATTTTGGCTTGTAATATACATTAGAGATGAAGTGTGCCTTTGCACTGTGTGTTTATGTACAGTTCGTAATAAAGCTAATTCTTTTGTATTATTGATTATAAAAAATGTTATTTCTTTCTAATTGTATTGAAGATACCGATTTAAATTGTTATATTAACAAGGTTTTAGACATTAGGACTTTAGTTTTTTCTCGTTGGAAAAATGACTAATGTTAAAGCCTCACAACATATTTGTTTGAAATATTTAATCATAAAAGTTGTATTACACTTATTCTGAAACATCTACCCCAGTGATTTCATCCTGATCTATACATCAGTCACATGGAAATCAAGCAGTACCATTTTGCAGAAACAAGTTTAAAACAGTTAAGTGATAACCTTTCCAAAACATTTTAACCTAAGTACTCTACAAAAATCTCCTCAGATACCATCACAAAATGTCACTACTATTCATTGCCCTCGTAAACATCGAATCCCTCACTATTCCTGAGAAACTGCAGTGGCTTGGTATCTTTAAACAAAAAAACATTTCTTAGATTTCCTTCAAAGCCTTTTGAAAACAACCCAGAAGTAACAATTGATACATTTCTGTACACTTCAAACCCCCCAAAGTAAAGCTGACCTCCGTAGTTTAAAGCCACGTAACGCTCAAATGGATCTAAATCTTGGAGGACTCTCTCATTGTCCACCACCACCTGGATAATTGTGCTGTTTAAAGCTAGAGAGACATTGTGCCACGTGTTGCAGCACAGTGTGACATTTCTGAAAGTTATTGGCAGGGAAAGCCTCTCCCCAAGATTTACAGCAACTTTGAGGTGTCCGTTTTCAAGTCCCACCGCGAGGTAGTCGTCATCTTCATGTTCAGCCTTCCCCATCCACATTACCAAACTGTTATTCGAGCTGCTTTTAAAGCTGAAAGAAACCTGTGTGTATTTAAAATTCCTCGTGTTGTATCTCGGGTCCTGGTATTTAACATATGAGCTTCCCACAAACTTGAGAGTGTCCGTGGCTATTTCTGAGTCGCAGTACCTCCCACCCAGTCCCAAAGGGCATATGCAGCGGTATGAGGGGACACCAGATGGGGCACATAAGGAACCCCGTTTGCAGACGTGGTTTAAACAGCTTACAGACTGGTTACACACAGAGCCAGTCCAAGATGGCGGACACACACACATAAATGAGTCACTTCCTGTTGACCTGCAGTGTCCTCCGTTTTTGCACACCTTATACCCACAGGCGGTCCCATCCCAGTCCCCCACATTTGCTCCACTTATAACCCCCATCTCTGTTAACTCCAACTCTTCTCCGTTCAGTATGAGTTCTCTTAAACCCCCAGTGAAGCCCACCGGCTCCTTTTCTGTTGCATCTGTGGAGACGAAGCTTAAGGTTGACACGCCCCCGATGAAGATGTCGGTAGCAACATCGAGAGTGGCCATCCCCCCAGTCACATTCTCTCTAGTCTCCTTGTTGTCCAGACTGAGGAAGCCTTGGTGACCGACCCGGCCAGCCGTCACCGAGTGCCAGGTCCTCCCACGTGAGTCCACTGGCTCAACAGACTGCAGGATGTGGGGGCCATCCCCCAGATTGTACCGCAGCTGGACAAACCCCGATGTCAAGGAGAGGCACAAGAAGTCTCCTGTTGGAAGAAAATAAAATGGTCATACTTTTCAGTTTTAGTGATGTCCCTCTGTTAAAAAGTCAGTTCACCTACTGTTTTTGTAGTAGAAAAAAAGTACATTTGACAGGTTTACGTCAGTTTTCGACCAAATTCACAAGAACATTGTTTGTGGAAACTACTGATTGAAAATGTAAAGTTAAAAGGCTCTGAGATACACAATTACCTCTTCTTTTGACATTGACTCCTTATGACGTATTAAACTATTACTTTTTTGGTAAAAATCTTTGTGACTTTTATACGACGACATTGTCATGAACTACTATACTATTTTTGTAATATACCATGACTTTTTATGCTTTTATTTCATCACACTAGACACTGTTTTGACACATTATTAGTGAGGTTACAATATGATACAAATATGCTAGATTTCAGATGTCTTTTAGCATGGAATACTTGCAGTTTGAAGAATAATTAAAGCAACTTTTTGACATGCCAATACAGTATTATGGGTTCCAATTTGATCTATTACTCAAAAGACTGTTTTTATAAAGGTAAGATAAGATAAGATAGAACTTTATTGATCCCAATTTGGGACATTTTTGTAAGTGCAATGTGTATATCATTACTTTTTTATTACACCGTGGAATAAAAGGATCATTGGCATATATAATGTTTGCCATCGTGGCAGAACATTGAGAGAAAATATATAGTAATCCTGGATATCAACACACTCACATTCTGCACCGCAAATGTAATATTTATTTTATCAAAATAAAGCAGGATATTAATGTCCTCACCAGATCTGGCACTGAGGTGCTGTGCAGTGTAGACAAGGATGCCATCAGGTGATAACGGCTGGAACTGCAGCTGCAGAACAGTCCTGTGTCTAATGCTCATAGGTGGGAATGACATCCATGAAGACTGGTTACCGCTGAAGAACGGATCACTGATGGTCACAGCTGTCACAGGCAGAAAGATACAGCAGTTCAATAATTGAAAAGTGAAGGTCTTGTGTTAATAAATAAATAACACACACATATAATGATAAAGTTAAGGTTCAGTGGCGCAACCTTTCTCGCAGTAGAGCCCTGCGGTCCCTAGGGGGCACTGGCAGGTATATCCATTGGGCAGGGGGATGCAGGTGGAGCCATGGGCGCACAGAGGAGGGGGGGTGTGCTCCACATCACACACAGACACCGTCTCAGAACAGAGTGCTCCCTTCCATCCAAATGGGCACTGGCAACTGCAGACGGACACAGGCAGGCTCTGTGAAAAGCTTGTAAACGCTGTCATTCCTTTCGCTATACTTGTACTGTGTAACTGAGTTTCTATAGCCTACTGATGTTGAGTCTCAAGGGACTATCAAGAACAAAAACATTGTCGGGGTGAATCCCTGTCATTCATAAAACCATTCACAAGTGGATTTGGTGCAAGTAATCAAAATGATTATACCAAATGTTATTTATTTTGTACTTACTACACAGATGAGCCAGAGTCCACGCATGTCCCCCCATGTCTGCAGTGAACATGAACACAAGGGGTGACTCCACACTGACCCACGCTGCGCCCGAAGGCTGGATGTCCCGCAGGCTGGCCCAGCACTTGGAACTTTCTGTCTCTTCTTGTGCGAAACTGCACATCAAAAATGCACCCTTTGGAAAGGACAAACACACACACTGTAAGTCAGAGTACGTTTTTTGAGGGGATAATCAGAGGAAACAGAACATTTTCAATTTTCCCTGTATGAGGTTTAATAGAGGACAAACTAAAATGTGAATATCCTGAGTTGGATTTCAAATAGAACGAGTGAAAAAGGGACAACTCAACTTAATTTGTTAAATGGCTTTTGGATCGTGTGACACCACAGGGGTTAATATCAAGTATACATACTGAATTCCTCTTGAATTTGATGGAATAAATGATCTGCAGTCTCTGCCGTACACATCCAAGATGTCCGAGTTCTTAAATCCAATCTCTTCCCCCTGTCATGATGCATCTCCCTCATCATATTTGCTTTTTGCTTTCATAATTCCATTTTACCAAGACAATATTTGCTTTGGCCTGTACCTGCGGAGCACTGGGCCTTCTATAAATACAAGGCCTGAGCACAAGCCATGGAGTCATCTGCACACGCTGACTCCCATCTCTCTGCTGCATTAGTCATTGGCATAAACAGGATGCAGGGAAAATGTCATGCTCATTCATGAATATTCATGGCATGATGCTGTCTTCTTGGCAGACTCAAGTGATGGTTGCCGAGCTGCAAACATCCAAAAGCGAAGCAGATTCATGAGGTAGATTATTAAAGCTGGTTATGTTTTGTTTTGCTGCTCTCATGACTCTTATTACAAAGAAATAAGAAACCAGAAGAGCCAAGTCTGGCAATAATACATGTGAGAGAAAAACATGTGCAAAGTGAATTTGCATTTAATTTGGATTTACCGAAAAAAATGGTTTCAGAATATTTTCTATTTCGTTCCTGTGGCAATCTTTAAAAATAAAATGTACCACCATGCCAGTCATGTTGCAGTCATCATTTTATAATTTCATTCAGCAATTAAGGCCAAAAGCTTGTTTTGACCACAAAATGTTGACAGTTCATCCTTGGGTGGACATTAATGAAACATTTGAAGAAATACCCTTAAGGCGTTCATGAGAAAGGGAAGCAGAAGGTCACAGCAACCTTTACCTTTCGACCTTTGGCCACCAAAATCCAATCATTTCCTCCTTGAGTCCTAGTAAACGTTGGTACCAAATTTGAAATGTATCGCTCAAAGCGTTCCATATCACATTCACTAGAATGTTTTCTATCAATGAACACAGGGATATACGCATGTACAACCCCATTTAGTTTTTTAGCACTGGTACTGACCCTCAATATCTTTCAACAAGTGTGATCAAAAAATATATGCATGATTTAAAAACACAAGCCTCCTCA